GAGTTAGTATAATAATAGGGAGAGTGAATAATAATAGAGGAATGCCCAGCGGCGTTGTTAGTTAAGTTAGATAATTGAGTTTCCTATAGTTTGTGAAATGTCATTATCATATGTCTGTTCATTTAATTAGTTACCTAACCCTATATGCATATATATATATGTTTATGAAAAATGAATACCCAATTAAATAAAATGATTAAAGATTATACAGTGAAATTAATTATAGTGTAAATAATGTAATAAGAAAATATCTAAAATAATAAAGAAATAATAGTCCGTGGTACAGACCCTCTTTTATCAAATTATTAACATCCACATGAAATTTCGTACCATTATGTCATTGTAAACTACAACTATTTTGTTTAAGAAAATTCTTGAAATTGGAGTGTTTTCAATTTAGAGATCGGCAAACTTTGTCTATTTAATTAGGTACTAAAAACTCGTAAATACACATTTGCTTTCCACTCGTAAGATTATTTGAGCACAGAATCGATAAATAAAAGTGGCTTTAAAAAATATTAAGCTGTTTGGCGTGAACTACATCCCCAAGATGTCAAAATAACGAGCTTATATAGGCTTATATTTTTAGAGTCCAACTTTTTTCTAAATTTTGTGATAAAATTATCTCACGATCAAAGTGGAAAGGAAAGGGATATTCACGAGTGTTTAGTATCTAATCAAATAGACAAAGTTTGCCTTCCTCCAGATTGAAAATGCCTCAATTAAAAGAATTTTCGTAAATAAAATAGTTGTAGATAGCGATGAGATAAAGCGGACGTTAATAATTTGATAAAAAGGAGTCTGTACCACGGACTATAAATTTAACAAAAATTGAGAAAAACAAACTATGATTGTATAAAAGATTTCTTCAGATTTTAACTTCAAATAATTCTATGGAGAAAGACAAAAAAAGTTATATATATATATATATATATATATATATATATATATATATATTATATATATATATATATATATATATATATATATATATATATATATATATATATAAAGAGAACCAATGAAAAAGATAAATAGAAATTATTATTGTAGCTGATTCCCGTTATCCCCGTTATATATGTTCCTATTTCAAGTATTCGTTGAATTCCTGGATGATCGGAATACGTGTTTGCTAAACTCTTTAGAGCACTTAAGGAATCTGAATCAATTATTATAGTTTTGTCAGGCAATGTAGATGAATACTCTAAGGCCACAAAAATGGCATTTACCTCTACAGAATAAAACGTAACTTCATTTTATGTGTGGTATCTTTGGTAACAAAAGCTGATGAAATTGTTGAATCAGATTTGGATCCAATAATAATATTGGAGAGTTTTTTGACTAGGTGTTAAGGATCTATTTGATTGTAAAACATAATTACAAGACCTTAATGATAATACCTGCCCCTAGGGCATATCTTGCCCTCAACTACTTCCCTACACACCTTAGCATTGAATAAGAGGGCGCACTTGACCGAGATCCACTTGGCATTGAACCACGATAATAGGATCGATATTAGAATAGATTATATCATAATCGACTAATATCCCGAACGCACGGGGCGGAAGCCTGTTTATAACACTATTAATTACATGGCCAAAGATGCTGTAAATTATAATTAGTTTAAAATATTTTTTATTTGTTAAAATTTTTTAATCATATATGTTAACTACACGCAATGTTTTTTTTAAATTTATTTATTTAGAATTATAACAATCTGTCTCGTGGACAATAGATTACAGTGATATATTAACACATTCACACTAAATATAAAATTAACAAAAGTAAAATAATAATAAAAAACTATGTACAATAAAAAAAAAATTACCTAAAGATAAGTACTTAAAAAAACATAAAAACACAGTAATACCTATATACAATATATACAATTAGGCAGGTAACCCCAAGCCAGGCTTCTCTCTCCAACTATACTAGGAAAAGCAGGACTCTAAAAGAACGCTACTCTCTCAAACGCTTCATTGGTGCTAAAGCCATTGGAGTTTGACCGAGAGCCACGCAATTAATATAATATTTTATTTATATTTCATTATGATGTACTTTACTCATGTTTGTGTGAAGTTCGTTGCAGTTTGGAGAGGTTTTTGAAATAATAACTCAGTGAATTGATATCTTTACATCAGTTGTTCAATGTTTGAGTCAGGGAGGGGAGACTATCGAGTTAAATAATCCCTCTGAATAGAAAAATAATTTTAATTTTCAAAATTCAAAATAATTTAAAAATATAGTGTAAAATAATATAACCATGTGTCGAAAAAATATATAAGAAGTTAGATAGTGGTTCAATATATATATATATATATATATATATATATATATATATATATATATATATATATATATATATATATATATATATATAAGGTGTACAGTAAGTAGAGAGAAATAATAATTAGGTCTGAAGAGCTACAAAAAAGTTTATATAAACATCGCTCCAATTTTTGGTGTAAAAGTGAGAAATTTAAGTTTTTATTGAGTTGTCATCATTTGTGTTAACAGAAACGGAATAGCTAAAGAATTATTTAATTTAAGTAATTTTTTTTTCTTTATTTCTTAATGATATTTACAACTATATTAAAGAAATACATCCAGTAAATTTGTACAAATGGATATAACGACGTGAGAACACTTTTTGAGAAACTACCCAATGATAGTACTATAATAATGTGTCTACATTAGGAGATCACGGGGCCATCTTCTTTTCAGACGAAGCAAGGTTAGAACAAGAGGGGTTGTATGGTTCTGAAGTTTATTAGGGAAGGATAGGTATCTGGATTGGGCCAAATCTGAAATATAAGGAATATTTAGGTCATTATGGATGGTTTTATTTGTAAAAAAGTAGGAAGCATTGAGGATTTTACGAAGGATTTTGGATTGTAAGGATTGGATACGAGAAGAATTCGATGGTTTAGTGGAGCCCCATAGCTTAACTCCATAAGCCCAAATAGGCCTTATTATAGTAACATATATGAGTCTTTTGTAATTAATTGGAAGTTTAGAGCGTTTGTATAGTAAGTGCGGAAGTAATCGGAAAGGTCGAGCAGTCTGGTATGAGGATTCCATGTTAGACGTTTGTCCAGGTATATTGTAAGTAATGTAGCATGAAAATAAAGTTTTGTTAAAACCATTTAAAGAGGACTTTTGAGCGGTTAAACTAAGCTAAATTCTGTTAAAAAAAAAAATCATAAATAATTCGCATATCAGAGTTCTTGCAATGGGCAGATTCTCCACTCACTACATGAGTTAACGTCTCTATAGCGATCTCCTCAATCTCCACTAGATTCAGACCCAGTGAAGTGGTTGAAAGATTGGTGCAGGGATCTCACAGAGTCCTGCTTTTAACCCCACAGTTGGAGGAACAAGCCTGGTTAAGAGTTTCTCCACCTGATTGTAAATAGTGGATATAGTATAAAGTGTGGGCGGGGTGGCCGAATGGGCTACCGCGTGTGCACAGCACTACCGTTGCCCGGCAACCTGATATAAGATTAATGGTATAAAAATAGTAACGAGTTCGCGTCCCGGTGCCAAGGCTTCTTTTAAATCCCTGCCCACACCCTCTGCCCCGGGAAAACCTTGCAATTGTTACAAATCATTTATTTCTTGTTTTTCAAAGATTTGGTATTATTATAATAAACGTATTACCTGAATATTTATTTTTAAAAATTACCTTTTATTTATTATAATGAAGAATAATGATTTGTCAAATATTTTTCATGTAAAGTAATAATGAAACTGTGGGATTTTTACCATAATCTCTGTTTTAGGAATTGACCCATGTTTATAAGAAACAAAATAAATTAATATTTATATTTTCATGAAAATAATTCTGGTAACAAGACCTGATAATGACCAACATACTGGGGATGAGACGTAGGCATTAGTGGCGCCCACCAACATACTCAGTCTTGGTCATGGTCTTGGTCTTGTGCAAGAGTCTCGCAACAGTCTTGCAGTTACTTATTAGCTAATTATTATAGAGATATTACTACAATTTTTTAAAGAGAAACCTAACTAAGCCCGAATGAAAAATTAGAGAAGTTAAATGCAAAAGTATATTGGTTATACCGATTATTAACATATAGTAACCAAGATTTTCAAGTATTAGTAACTATTTTGCCCTAATTTTTAATTTAAAAATCGATTTTTTTCTCCAGTCCTGGTCTTGGTCTTGCAACAGTTAGGCGGCCTTGGTCTTGGTCTTGCAAAGTGCAAGACCAAGACCGATTTTGGGCAACACTAGTTGGCATTAAAAATGTAGAACAGTAGACTGCCATCAATAAAAAAATAAATAATAATAATTTTGTATTTAAAAGCTTCCTGCCCTACAGTTTCCTTTCAGAATCATCCCAACCCTCTCGTTTCTAACATTGCTTCCTCTTCATTTCCTGATAATCCTCCGAGGCGTCTGAAAAGAAGATGGCCTCGTGATCTCCTAATGTAGATTAGAGTGCTACCTAGTGTTGCCAATATGCGAGACCGAGACGAGTCTTGGTCTTGCAAACTCAGTCTTGATCATGGTCTCGGTCTTGCGCAAGAGTCTTGCAGTTAGTTAATTAGCTTATTGCTGTAATATTACAGCAATAATCTTATATTATATATCTGTATAATATTAGTGTAATTTTTTAGATAGTAGAAATCTAATTGGGCCTGAATGAAAAATTAGAGAAGTTAAATGCTAAAGTATATTGGCTATACCAATTATTAACATATAGTAACTAAGATCGTTGAGTATTAGTAACTATTTTGTCTTAATTTTTATTCAAAAAATCGATTTTTTTACCTGTCCGGGTCTTGGTCTTGCAACGGTTAGGCAGCCTTGATCTTGGTCTTGCAAAGTGCAAGACCAAGACCGATTTTGGGCAACACTAGTGCTAACATTTTCTACCATTGTCTCAACAAGTGTTTAACGTCTTTGATACAGTTGTAAATATCATTAAGAAATAAAATATTTAAAAGCATTATTGTATCTTCCTATAATTACGTTTTTTCTTTATTAACTTGCCTTAAGTGGAAGTAGTGTTATGTATTGCACCAGGTTTTTTTTAGATAAAAAAAAAATGCAAAATATATTTATATCAATATTCAATATTTATTTCTTGGTTGGGTGTTAGATGTTTTATTTATTACACCTGTAGTATTTGTTCGCTTTTAACTACTTCCTTACACACCTTAGCATTGAATGGAGACTACACTTGACTTAGATCGCCTTGGCATTGAACCCGATCAAAATATCGATATAAAAAATCGATAGATGATATCAGAATCGACCCAGGCGCGGGGCGGAAGCCGTACCGCCCTTGACTGTGTGGAAGGCCGGAGCTCCTACTCTATATAGTCACTCTCTTCGCCGAGTGTAGTCTTAGTGTTGAGTCCGCTCCCGACCTGTTTAGTCCTCAGCTGCGGTAAGTCAGAGAGCTTTAGTGCTTAGTCAACATTAGTGGCTGGATATTAGTGGTTAGTGATATTGTGCCTCCACCGGAGTACTCGTCTTCCAAATTATACTACGATAATATTAACAAAAGGTATCACTTTATTTATAAATAATACGGTTATAAATTTAGGGTCTATTGTATGCATCATATATAGCCAAAGTATGTATAGTACATTTGTTCACGCATATATATACAGACATCTAACTCAAAATTATGATATATAGAGATCCATTTTAATAGCAATACTTTTTTTTTCAATTATTTAATTATTAGGTACAATTATTTTTTTTTTTAGTATCAATAATTGTTAGCTACTACTTTTTTTTTTTTTAAATCATCATATACCTTTTATTTCCCTTTTTTATCCCTGTTTTTGGGTTTGAAAAGTAAAATTATTATTTTTTTATTTTTTTTGTTTAGAAAATTATGTAATAATTATTATATTTGATTTTTAATTGAAAAAGCGTGCCTAATTTATAAATAATAATTTAAATCGATCTTTGATGTTTATTTATTCGATTAAAAATAATAATCATTCACCGAGTGATACGGTTTTACATAAATAATAATGATATTCATAACTATTTGTTTATATTATTATTATTTTTTAATCATCATATACTGTTTCTTTTTCCAGGGTTTGAAAACCATAATTTTTTTTTCTCCACAGAATCATGTAATAATCATTATATTGAATTGTAAAATCGTGCTTGATTTATAAATACAAATTCAAATCGGTCTTTAATGTTTATTTATGTGATTAGATAATATTAACTAAGGTATCACTTTATTCATAAATAATATGGTTATAAATGTAGTGTATATTGTATGCATCATATATACCAACGTATGTATGGTACATTTGTACACACATATAGACAGACATTTAACTCAAAAATATGATATTTAGAGGTTCATTTTAATAGCAATACTTTTTGTTCAATTATTTTATTTTATTTTTTAAAATTATTATATACTGTTTATTTCCCTTTCTTATCTCTGTTTCTTGGTCTAAAAACCATAATAATTTTTTTTTTTACAAAATTATGTAATAATTATTACATTTGATTTTTAATTGAAAATTCTTGCCTGATTAATAAATATAAATTTAAATCGATCTTTGATGTTTTTTTATTCGATTAAAAATAATAATCATTCACCGAGTGATAAGGTTTTACATAAATAATAATGATATTCAACTATTTGTTTATATTATTATTTTTTTTCTAAATCATCATATACTGTTTCTTTTCTCAGGATTTGAAAACGATATTTTTTTTTGTTTTTTACAAAATTATGTAATAATCATTATATTTGATATTTAATTGTAAAATCGTCCTTGATTAATAAATAAAAATTTAAATCGATCGTCAATGTTTATTTATGTGATTAAATAATATTAAAAAAGGTATCACTATATTTATAAATAATACGGTTATATATATTTAGGGTATATTGTATGAATCATATATAGCCAAAGTATGTATAGTACATTTTTTCACGCATATATATACAGACATCTAACTCAAAATTATGATATATATATAGATCCATTTTAATAGCAATACTTTTTTTTCAATTATTTAATATTGAATTGTATAAAACTTCATGAATTGTCGTAAGTACCTTTTTTTATTTAAAAAAAAAGTAATTTTAAAATCGTACAAAACTTTATGGAGAAATATCTATTCAAAGTTTTACTACTAATTTTGGACTAATAATTTCAGACATATTATTATGTAAAATAAATAATAGTTCTATCTCTAGAAAATTGTTTTGAATCTATTAACCTCTTCTAAATCCAATGAATAGGATCATAATTTTTTTAATAAAAAAAAGACAAATGGTCATTTTTCATTTTTTTTACCCAAACCTATTAGAAATACGGACAATTAGCAAGTCTGCTGTTGGGAATTTAATACTGATAGTGGAGTGATCGCCGTGAGGAAGAGGAGTGCCCAAAGGCAACTCTTCCTGACTTGAATTTAGTATACTTTTAGGTGAGGAAACCCCTCATCCAGCTTCTTTCGAGCATATAAAGAGTGTTTTCGGTCATGTTAATCGTGGTCATGTCTTGTATCAGTGTGTTAGTATGTTCATGTTAGTTATCGTGAAATTTCTTGTGGTGTCAGTATGTGGTCATGTTTAATAACTGTTGGCATTATCTTATCTGGTTTAGATCTTTATGTAAAGTAATGTTTGTGACGTACAATGGTGCTTTAGTTATAGCACTAGCATTGCTTGTTTCAATTACATGTGGGCGATCAGACCGTTGAGCATCATAGATGTCAAAATTTCCTGAATGAAATTTGGCAAACCAATTTTGACAGGTGTGTTCGGTTAAGGCATCGTCCCTATAAACACTGCAAAATTTTCTATGAGCTTCTACAGCACGCTTACCTTTTTTAAAATAATACAACAAAATATGGCGATAATGAATGATATTTTCTTCTATATTCACAGTGCAATAGCAAACACAATACTAAGCTAGTTTCAGCAAGAGTTAACAGATATAGCTGTTGACGTATTATATACAGGATAAATAATCCAACTTAGGGATTAATTCATCAGATAAAAAGTGTATTATCGTGACTGTGTATCGTTGATTGGCACAGATAAATATTTGAAGCTAAAAAAAAAAAAAAACAGTTTAGAAATTTCATTTATGTCCAATGAAAACACTTGGTTTTAGTTAAATAGCATTAGTTTTCAGAAATTATTATTCAGATAGAGTGCTACCAATGGGTAGATTCTATACAAGCCTTGTCATGTCATGTATTTGTCTGTATCATATTTGTTGAATGTATTTTAAATGTACAGTTGTAAATTTAATAAATAATAAAAAAATATATTCATATATCTAGTAACTTTTAGAACTTGAAAAAAGAAAACTTAAGAAGTCTGGAAGATCCTTTTTAAAGATAGAAAGGAACAGAGAAAAAGAAAACGAAAAAAAAATTTACTGCCTGTCCTATTTTACATGCATGCCATGTTAGGTAAAAAATAGCCCCCACTTCACTAGCACCAGAGAGATAAGAATTGAGATCTTGTTAGTAGATATTTTACAAAGACTCTATATCTTCAAACAGTGGCGTAAGGGAGATAACCCTGACAGAGCAATTAGTTTGTCTTGATGCAGTCTGTTGACCCAATGCACGAAACCTTGGGTGTAGTTTTTACTTGTGAAGGGAACTTGGAATTAATCGATGGAGGAGGAACTCCATCAGACCGTTCCTAAACTCATCTATAGTAACAATTGATAGAATTTAGCGCATTTCGTTATCGAGTAACCGATTTCTCAGCGATTCCATCGCATTTTAAGGTCATTAGATCTTCTGGATGTAACGTGTATGTCAAACCATGGAATGTTGAAGGATTACTATATTTCCAAAAGCGACTTCTCTCGGAGATTTCATTCTCATACGAAATATTATAGATCTTGAAATATATAAATTGTTTGGCTAATGAAAACGGTGAGGAAGCTATACTGATTTTACTTGGCAGACGTTTTTTTATTATTATTTTAGTTTAAAAATTCCATATATTTATTTCCTTATTCCTACTAGATCCCTAAGGAAGTTATTTGGATTGAGTTGAAATTCTCATATACTATTTTAAAACAGTACTGCAAGAATCCCTAACGTTTTTTAACTCATTAAGTTGATAGTGAAGCGGTTTGCACCGATTCGTTTGTCAAGGAGTGACAAAATGCTAATTAGTCACTTTTAATTAATTTAGTTTATAATATCTACTTTTACATTATTGATAATTGGGAAATAGACGTTTCCATTGAAAATAAATAGAATTTTAATTAAAAATATAAGAAAACATAATTGTTTCTGCTTAGTAAACCAAAAATAAATAATGCATAGAATTATGTTGTCATTTTTGTTTTTATATTAATTTTTTTAAGTTTGTGTTTATAATAAAAATAATATACTTAGTTTGCCTTGATGCAGTCTGTAGACCCATTGCACGAAACTTTGGGTGTAGTTTTAACTTCTGAAGGGAGCGTGGAATTAATCGATGGACGAGAAACTCCATCAGACCATTCCTAAACTCATCTATAGTAGCCTTTGATGGATTTTAGCGCATTTCGTTATCGATTAACCGATTGTTTAGTGATTCCATCGTATTTTAGGATCGATGGATCTTCTGGATGTAACCACGTGGATGTACAGACCCGTTTACTTTCTATCTATACTGTTCATAATATTTGTTTTTGTTCTCTCCTTCCTCGCCTTTTAGGCTCCTCCGACCAGAGGTGAGGACGGGGGATTAATGCCAGAGTTAAAAGCCCCTTTTAGGACGTGAACTGCATATTACTTTATCTCATTATCTTCTATCCGGATTGCCAGGCAACGCGTGGTGCTTTGAACACGCGTTAGCCCGCTCAGCCTTTCCCCTCCTTTCCGTATATAAAACGATTGTATAGATCCTTTAATATATTATAATATTATTAAAATACAAGTAAATTGTATTAATTCAGAAATAATTTTATATTATTTTTTCATTATCATTATTAAAACAATGATTTCAATAAAAAAAAACTTCTATAACTTATGAGGAAAATAAGAAAAAACTTCTTTAAACTTATAATTATTACATAATTATGTAAATACTTCCTTATCAATAACCCTGATATACCTTTAAAATCATGTATGAGAACCACATATAAAAAAAAAATTGTATTTATTTATTTTGTCTCTTTGTGCCTATAATACATCTCTTAGGTTGCAATATTGAAATAAAACGATGAATGGTAATGTCGAGTTTTCCATCTCGGACATACCTTTGGCTCCATAGGTTAATTATTTTTATTTTATTCTTTTTTATTTCTTAATGATATTTACAACTGTATAAAAAAAATACATTAAGGAAATTTGAACATATAATATAATGACATGATAAAACTTGTTGAGAAACTACCCAATAGTAGCACTCTAAAGATATGTCTACATTAGGAGATC